ATATGTGTATATATGTATGTATTTGTATATATGTATATATAAATACGTGTGTGTAGGGGTCTGTGTGCGCATGAGTGAGTCTATATGTGTGTGTAGGTGTGTGTGTAAGGGTCTACATGTGGAGGGGTCTATGTGTGTATGTGTACCCATAAGTGTGTGGAGGGCAGGGGTTGATATCCCAAATCTTCCTTCCTCTATGGCTCTTCTCTTAAATTAATTTATTTTTATGTGCAAGGGTGTTTTGCGTGCATGTAAATCTATGCACCACATGCATGCAGTGCCCATAGAGATCAGAAGAATATGTTGGATCCCTTTGGACTGGAGTTAATGACAGAAGTGAGCTGCCATGAGGGTGCTGAGAACTGAACCCAGCTCCTAAATCCTGAGCCATCTCTCCAGTCTGCACTACAACTTTTCACCTTATTTTTTGAGACAGGGTCTCTCACTGAATCTGGAGCTCACCACTTTGCTAGCCTGGTCAGCTATCAAGTCCCCTGTCCATCTGTCTCTACCCTTCATCTCTGGAGTTACAGATTCATGCCACCACACCCAGCTTTTACATGAATGCTGGAGAGCTGAACCCAGGTTCTCATTCGTACACAGCAAGTCCTTTACCCACCGAGTCACCTCCCCAGCCCTGGTCATTCTGTTCTTTGACCCAGTCTGTGCTGGGATACTGACATTGCTCATCGGTACTATCCTGGTGTGCATATTTCCTAGACTACACCACCCTGAGCCTGGTCCCTTCTATTAGAAACAAAAAGAGGCTGGGGGACTAGCTGTCCTCTAGCTCTTTGTAGTCCCATTATTCGGGGCAGTGCTTGTACTGGACCAACTCCTCTTGATCAATTTCTCTCTGGTCCCCAGAAACTCATTTGTGGGTGAGTCACAGTTTCATCTGTCCATTTTTAGAAAGGTGCAGTTGGGATTCTGCGTGTAGATGTGAGAGTAAAAACAGGACTTACAACGTGGGGAGGGAGGGAGAGTTTTGCAACACAAACCCCAAAGGAGAAGTGTGAGCCTCCTCAGCTTCCTCCTGACAGTGGGAATTAATGCCGACACAGCACTGGGGATGAGCAGGTGGCAAGAGTGAAAACCGGCTTTGTTGCCCCCGCCCGCCGGCCGCCAGGCAGCAGGAGGGTAGTGGCATGAGGTGCTTCTCCCTTCTGGGAGCAAGGGCGATGGGTGAAGGCCAGTGCTGGGGGAGTGACACCGCTCACCCTGCTGCCCTGCTGCGCAAACAGGGCTGCTCAGGTTTCTGGTCTTCCAAGCACCTGGGGCCTGCAGGGGAGCCAGACTTTTCACGCTCCTATTCCAAGCCAGGGCACCATTCCTCTCCCACTCTCCTGCGTCCTCTACAGCCCTTTCCCTCCTCTTCTTCAGCATGGCCGTGGGGCGGATGGAAAGGACTAATGAGAAAGAGAAAAGGGACCTGGAGAGAGAGCGCTCGTGTAACATGCACAGAGCCCTGACCTGAAGGCTCCCCACATCTCCCCAGCTGCCCTGTTTCCTAAGAAGTGTGTTCCCTGACACTTTTGCAGCTCACCCTCCCGCTGCAGGTGTGCTGGGTGGATGCAGGAGTGAAGGAGGACGGCGAAGGAGGCACAGAAGACAGCAGGCACTTGAGGGTCCTCCTAGCTGTCTCCTATCTCTGTGCAGTTGGCCTTCAAGGGTGCACTCTCCCTGTCCCCACTCACACCTCTGACAAACAGCCCCTCCCAGTCCTCATTTCCCACAGCTCCGTCCCCACCAGCCCCGGTGTCAGCCTCAGGCTCCCAACACTACCTCACAACCTTCCTGCCCCGGCTTCTCCTGGCCCTCTCCTCAGGCCTTCTGAGTGCAAGGCCACAGTCTGAGGAGTCAACGATCCTTTCCTCTTTGTCTTCTGTCACTCCATGTGGGACACATGGACACTCTTGTTCTGGTACTTCTCAGTCAGGGGCAGGGGAGTGTCTAGGTGCATGTACCTTACACACACACACACACACACACACACACACACACACACACACACACAGTCCCTGAGTGAGCTTGGACTGAAGTGAGTGCATTTGGCATTCAGCTCGAATGTTGGACAGCACCTGGGCATAGTTTTCCCTGGCATTTACTGTGTCTGTCTGAGGTCTGGGCCCTTCCCAAGGCTGCTGACTGCATTTGCCTCTGGGCATCCTGCGTCCTTTACTGATGACTCTTTGTGTGCATGCCATCTGTCATTAACTACAGTGATGTCACTGAGGGTTGCAGCACAGCCCACACCTGTGCGCACAGACTGACTCCATTAAGCCACAGTCTAGGCCACACGCCTCAGCCTTTCCGTGGCCAGGCCCCTGCAGACTCTCTTTCTCGGTTTTCTGTTACCTCTGCTCCTAGAGGCCTGATGGGCTGTACTGTGATCAAGATGAGGGAGGAAAGCAGGGCACGCTTTGAGGCTAGGCTCTGCCTTTTCAGGAGTCTACCATGGGTCCCGACTGGCCACCTTTCCCTTAGCTACGAAGTGCATTTTGGGGCTGGAGAAGTAACTTAGTCAGTAGAGTGCCTACTGTGCAAATTCAAGGACCTGGGTCTGACCCCAAGTGTGAAAGACTGGTGTGCACATGTCCTTGTACAGGGGAGTCGGAGACAGTGAGGTCTCTTGGGCTCCTGGCCAGCCAGCTTAGCTTAGTTGGTGAAACGCCATTAAGAGAGAAACTCAGACTGTCCCAAAAATCAAGGTGGATGACTCCTGGAATGAAACCAGAGATTGACCACACACACACACACACACACACACACACACACACACACATGCACACGCGCACACACACACACACACACACACACACACACACACTGCCCCAACCAACCCCTCACAAAGGACGGCTTAGCCAGGGGTTAGGGATTTAGCTCAGTGGTAGAGTGCTTGCCTAGCAAGTGCAAAGCCCTGGGTTTGGTCCTCAGCTCCAACAACAACAACAAAAAAAAAAGACAGCTTAACCAAAGCGTGCATCTGGACCCAGTTACTTCTGACCCTAAGAAAAACAAAGAGGCAAGGACAAGCTAGTAGGTGTGTCCTCCTGCAGAAAGGGAGAGTCAGGAAAAACAGGGTCACACTTGGCCTGAGCTTTCATAGCCGAATCTAGAATTGTCTTAATAACCCTCATGGTTCTAGGAGGTGGGAGTGCTCTGTGTTCCTTTCTGTCTGATAAGAACGTGGAGGCTCTGAGAGGGTAAGGAACTTGTTGGAAGACTTAGAGTAGTGTGCTGGGGTGTCACACATTTCCTGCCTCCAGAGTGCACTTCCATCTCCTGCACTTTGGAAGTCAGAGCTCAAAGGCAGCAGTAGGTCTGACCCAATTGTGTGCTGACAGCCAGTAACTTCAAATGTGTCCTTACCATGTGGGGATTTTCAGTGAATTCCTTTTGTTCATCCCATCCTGTCCTGCTCAGCAAAATGAATGAAAGAATACAGGATACTGATTTATTATTTTATTTTTATTGCAAGTGTGTGTGAGAGCACACGTACCACAGCATCTGTGTGGCGCTAAGTGGAAGTTGCTTCTCTTTGCACCACGTGAGTCCTGAGGATTGAACTCAGGTTGACAGGCTTGGTTGCAAGCCCCTTTATCTGCTGACCTATCTCACTTGCTCAGTGCAATTAGTTTGCTTGTAGAAAAGAAAATATTTGTTTCCCTAACTTTTGTTTCTCAGGCCAGAAGAATTCGTTCTTCCCCGCATTGGGAGTCCAGAAACAGTTTCAACTTTAATGAAAACTCTCGCGACTCGACAGTTGGAACGAGGACCCGGCATTGAAGGGGCAAAGGCTTGGACACCGGGAGCGGGGGGGGGGTGGGGTGGGGGTGGGGGTGGGAGGCGGGGGCGCGGGGTGGGGGGGTGGGGGCAACCTCTGCTAGCTGAGTTAACCTCACAGACAGCAGTGCTAGGCCAAGAAATGTCCTTCCAGCTGTGCGGTTAGCTGATGTTCTAAGAGCCTTGTGCCCTCACAGGAATTCACATCCATCCCTCCTGGCACCACAGACCCTTCTTTACCCGGAGACGCTCTTATCTGTACAGTCTCGGGGCTTGTGCTGTTATCTCTGAGCTATCATGGTCAAGCCTCTTCTGTCTACAGAAATCAAGCCCCACCGCACATCTTTAATCCCAGCACTCAGAGGCAGAGGCCGACAGATCTCTGCGTTCCAGACAAGCCAGGGCTACATAGTGAGACTCTATTCCAAAATATAAAATCATGGAGGGCAGAGGCATGGTCTCACTGCCTTGGAAACTTCTGTGGAGCTCAGCTCCTACGTCATATAGAAACGTGCTTCAAAAAGAGTTTGTAACCAACTGTCATCAAATGGAGGTCATACATGTGCATCAAAAACTAAGTGGGGGCTGGAGAGACGGTTCAGCGGACGAAGATGCTTGCCACCAAGGCTCACAACCTGAGTTTGATCCCAGGACCCACATGATGGAAGGAGAGCCCTGACTTCTGCAATTTGTTCTCTGAGTTCCTCTGTGTGCACAAACACATGTACACACACACACACACACACACACACACACACACACACACACACACACATAAATACCACTGATCAATCCATCAGGGTTAAAAACTTTCAAGAAAGCTGAAACAGCTCTTCCTGTGGTTGGCAGTCAAGGCGGTACTGCCGAGAGACAAGATGGCTGCCTCTGACCGACTTACGGACTTCATCACTGCCCAATAAGTCAAGATGACTGAGGACTAGTTGGCCTTCCCTATAGAACTTTGTATTTTTTTCTTTTTTTGAGTCACTGTCTCGATATGTAGACCAGGCTGGCCTTGAACTCACAGAGATCCACTTGCCTCTGTCTCATGAATGTTGCCATTTAAAGGGGTGGGTGGGTTTTGCTTTTTGATTAAATTGTATATACTTGGAGAGAAGAGCTGGAACATTCCCACACCCTTTGGTCTAGTTATTCCCATGGCAAAGAATTTATCTGATAGAAATAACTGAACAGGAAAAAGAAAATTCCACAGATTAGAGTGCTGTGAGATTTGTATTTGCTAAAAACAGGAAGGACACCAAATGTTTATTGACAGAATTACAAGTAAGCTAGACATAGTGTAGGTATGTCTAACTGTGTGACCCAGGACAGCGGTGAATATAGAGCAAAACCAAATCATAAATTTACTTAAGACACTTAAAAGATATTTTTGAAATTAAAAAGTTTATTTACTAAGCCTGACATGGTGGCACACACCTTTAATCCCAGCACTTGGGAGGTAGAGGCAGGTGTATTTCTGTGAGTTCAAGGTGAGCCTGGTCTACATAGACAGTTTTAGAACAGCCAGGGTTACACAGAGAGAGCCTGTCTTGAAAAACTAAAGTTTTTTTTTTTAACTTATTTTATGTGCATGTATGTCTGTTCACCATGTGCATGTCTGGTGCTCTCAGAAACCAGAAGAGGGTGTTGGATCACCTGGAACTGGAGTTATAGACTGTTGTTAGACACTCTATGGGTACTGGGATTGAATCGCCCACTCCCCAGTTCTCTGGAATAGCAGCCAGTGCTCTTATCCACTGAGCCATCTTTCCAGTCCCCCCACTTTGGAAACTCAATTTTGAGGTTCTCAATTGTGACCTTTGTAGAAGACAGCATCATGTTGCAATGTTAAAACACTGGACAAGCCTGTGAGAGACATGACTCAGTCTGTCATCCTTGAAACAAACATGTAGACTGCCAAGGAGATATCAGACACACCACAATGAGCCACATGCCACAACTTCCTCAATGAGGCCACCATCTGGGAAAGACTTCTAAAATGGTTATTACAGTGCCACACAGGAACAGAGAGCAATTTGGAATCCAGTTTTTTTTAAAAAAGCAAGTTACAAAACTATACTGTCCCGGAATTCTCAGTCAGACTATAAATGAGGCCCGAGTCAGTAAATGCAGGCGTGAAGGCACTCCTGTGGTTAGATCATAAGTGATGCTTTCAGGATGGGGGACAGAAAGTAAGCTGCTCTCATAGCCTGGGTCTTGCACTGGCAGCAGAGACATAGTTGTGGCTCTGCAGATCTAGGTATTGTTGGGCTGGCAGTAGACACAGGCTAGTTATTGAGGGGAGAGCCTGAGTCAGTCCCAGACTCCTTTTCTGTCTCATCAGGGTTGTTCCCATCCTCCAATTTATAGAAATAGTCTCCCTCAATCTCTAACCTTGAGATTCCAACAATATCTTAGATCAGTTCTATTTTCAATACCACTACCTAGTCAAGGGACGGGACGGGACACAACTTGGCCAATGGAAGCCCTTCCCTGGGAATGTTGACCTTGAAATCAGAGAGAGATGAGGTCCTTCTCTGATGATAAAGCTATGGAATGTGGACCTGGATTACCCGTCACTACTCAAAGATCTGAAGGTCAGAGAGGGGATGGTCTAGCTAGATTCAATCCTTGATTTCCACTCAGTCTGAGTATTTAGTCACTCCTTTATCCACATGGTCATGTGGATAACCCTCACCAACTCTTTTGTAATTAGTTGGGTTAGAACCTTTGTCTCTTGTAAGCCCTGATGATCAGCATTTGCACTAAGAGTGATGTGTGTGTCTTTCAAGAACTGAACAGAAAATTTTCAAAAACACTGTGGGGCTGTTTTGTCGGCATCTGGTACATATTTCTTGCACATAAGACACAACAGGAAAAATAGGTCTGTCCTCATTACAGTGGGTCAGAGTCAAGAACTCTGGGTTCTGAGTGGAGTCAGGCTCATGAAGACCCTTTCAGAGCAGAAGAGAGCCCTCTCCCTCACTTGTGTAACGAGTAAAGCTGCTCAGGATGCTATCCTGCCTGCTCCTCTGAGATTCTGGCGTGAAGCTGACGTGGACGGAACGACCGCACAGGACAGCCAGGCACTTCCTGTACAGGTGTCCCAGGTATCTCCTGAACTTTTCCCCAGCGAAGGCGTAGATAAAGGGGTTGAGGCAGCAGTGGCCAAACGCCACTGTCTCTGTCACGCTGAGGGCCAACCTCAGGCCCCTCTTCACGTCACAACTAGGGAAGAAGTTGTAGAATTTGAGAGTCTCCATGAAAATCACGATGTTGTAGGGTGTCCAGAAGAGGAAGAAGACCACCACCACAAGCAGGATGAGTCTGATGGCTCTGGCTTTCTTGCGATTCTTACAGGAAAACAAGGTCTGGATGATTCGGAAGTAGCAAAAGCTCATGATAAGCAGGGGCAGCGCGAAGCCCAGGATGTTGACTTCCAAATTTCGGAGCACGGGCCAGATTTCCTGGAGGACTTGGGGGTAGTCACCCAGACATTCGTTTTCCTTTCTCTTTGTGAACATGAACTGGGGTGCCGCCACCAAGATGGCTGCTGCCCAGACGCCCAGGCTGATGGTGACACCATGCTGCACTGTTCGGTTGTTCATGGAGTTGGCGGCCAGGACAATGGCCAGATACCTATCGATGCTGATGACCGTAATGAAGAATATACCCCCGAAGAAGCCGATGAAGAAGAAGGCAGTGGTGAGCTTGCACACAGCATTGTGGAGGCCTTCCTCGTTGATGACATAGTGAGTCCAGAAGGGCAAGGTGGCCACGAAGAGCAGGTCACTGAAGGCCAGGTTTAGGAGGTAGATGTCGGTGATGCCCTTGGGCTTCCGGCTGTTGGTGAGGGCGAGTACCACCAACAGATTTCCCACCAGACCAAAGGCGAAGACGAGGGAGTAGAAAATGGACAGGAAGATGGTCCCAAAGTCCACAATGTCACCTACATAACAGGCTTCTGCAAAATCATCATACTCAAAGTTCTCGTATTCTGGGTCCAATTTAGGGAAGAAGGTGGGCATGGCGAGGTCCTGGAACAGAGGGGGAGACATTAGCCTTAGAGGATTGCAGTTCTCTCTGGCTGTCCGGAGCAAACAGGAAGAAACAAACACTGACTGGTGGTTTACTACATTTCACCCTCACTCATGCTATCTTTTAAAACATTTATTTTTATTTTTGAAACAGAGTCTCAATATGCAGCCATGACTGCCTTGGAATGAAATACATAGACCAGATTGGCCTGCATCTCACAGAGATCTGTCTGCCTCTGCTTCCTGAGTGCTGGGATTAAAGGCGTGAGCCCACACCACACTGGCTGCTTTTTTAAAAAAAAATGTATTTTATTCAAAATTATGTGTTATGTGTGTTTGTGTGTGGGAAGGTACATGTGTGAATGCAGGTACTTGTTGAATCCTGACGAGGACATTGGATCCCCCGGAGTTGGAGTTACAAGTGGTTTGGGGCTACCCTGACATGGGGCTACCCTGACATGGGGCTACCCTGACATGGGGCTACCCTGACATGGGGGCTACCCTGACATGGGGATACCCTGACATGGGGCTACTCTGACATGGGGCTACCCTGACATGGGGCTACTCTGACATGGGGCTACCCTGACATGGGGCTACTCTGACATGGGGCTACCCTGACATGGGGCTACCGTGACATGGGGGCTACTCTGACATGGGGCTACCCTGACATGGGGCTACTCTGACATGGGGGCTACCCTGACATGGGGCTACTCTGACTGCACTTGTATCTCTTCACTCTCTGATGAGATTTAGAATTACCATGGAAACAGAAATCATGGCATAACTGTGAGGGATTTGATTCATTTATTTATAATATTTATAAAGATTTGTTTATTTTATGTGTACACATGTGTGTGCCTGATGTCCAAACCAGAAGAGGGTGTTGGATTCCCTGAAACTTAACTTGAGTTACAGATGGTTGGGATCCACCATGTGGGTGGTGGGAATTGAACCCAGGTCCTCTGGAAGAGCAGCCAGTGCTCTAAACTGCTGAGCCATCTCTCCAGCCCCATGTGAGGGATTTTAACAAGGGAGAAAGACCTACTCTAGCCAGGCGGTGGTGGCACATGCCTTTAATCCCAGCACTTGGGAGGCAGAGGCAGGTGGATCTCTGAGTTTGAGGCCAGCCTGGTCTACAGAGCGAGTTTCAGGACAGCTAGGGCGATACAGAGAAACCCTGTCTTGAAGAACAAACAAACACCCCACTCTAAATGTAGATGGAGCCATTTCACGGGCTGGGTCCTAAACCTCACAGAAAAGGAGATAATGAGCCGAGCTTCAGCACATCACTCTGCTTTCCAATTTACAGGTGCATTGTGAGCAGCTGACACCCCCGCCACCATGGCCTCCCACCTGCTACCAGAACAATCCTGTCAAATGGTAAGCCACGTCCTCTAGAGGAGGAAGATTCACGCCTGCTGAGCTCAGAAAGTGCTGTCAGGCGGTGTTCAGTACTGAATGCTCGAATGTTGCTAAATCACAGAGATGCTTTCCTCAGAGAAAAAAGCCTGCAGCCTGGAGTCAATAATGAGCGCCATCACAGACAGCCTCAGCCTAGTCCTTCACAGCAGAGCCTGTAACTTCTTCCTCCCGTAAGCCTCTTCTTGTCCGGTATTTGGTCACCAGCCATGAGGAAAATAACCAGTGTAGTTCCACACTCCTGTTTCATGGTACCCAGGACTTTAGGTTTAATACTGTGTGGGAAATGCCTTCATCACAATAGCACTGGGTTGGCCATCTCACAGCCTGAGGTGGAGAGGAAGCTTTGTTGTGACCCGGGCTCTGTGCTCACAGAAGGGCTAGCTGACCCCAGGCAGAGGATGGGTTCAGCCAGCCTGCTGTACTTGGTTTGAGTGTCTAAGCTATCAGGATGTTCCCAGCCCCAACCTACTCCCTATTCTTTCTCCTATTTCCTCATGGGCAAGAATGGGAAAAGAGGACATTTTTTCACAGGTTGGGTAATAAGACGCGTCCTCTTCCCGTTTGCTTCCCAGCCAGGATGTGCTGGTTGCTCACTCCATACTGCTCCTCTGGGCATCCTCTTCTGTCTCTTAAACCGCAGACAGAACCCTCAGAAGTCTGAAGGCATCTCAGAGCACACTTCCTCAATGCCATTGCCCTTTCCCCATTGAAATGGAAAGCAAAGCTCATGGTTTTAACAGAAGTTTCCAAACCCACTGCACCCTGCTCAAGATGGTCCCACCCACGGCTCCTTCCTGTATCACCTGCCTGTGAATTCTGCATCTCAGCCAGCCTCTTGTGTGGTGGACTGGGCCGGGCTGTCTGCTCTGGACCACTCACACTGTGATGGAGGGAAAGCAGACGCGTTCTTTGCTCCAAGCTGCAGGACCTTTTTTCTAATATATAATGGTATAATAAGGTAACAACAGAACCTCTGCTGTCGCGTTTCTCAGCAGCATTCAAGCTGGTCATTACCAGCCGCTGCCTCACAGGCTCTCTAATCTCTGCAGCTGTCACCTCAGGACCAAGGACACAGCTGTGTGGTTAGAGTGCTTGCCTAGAAAGCACAAAGCCTTGGGTTCAGTCTGCATCATTGCACTAACTAAGCTTGCTAGGGTATGCTTGTAATTCCAGCAACTGGGAGATGGAGGCAGGTGGTCAGAGTTCAAGGTTACCTTACCTCACTTTATCTGCATAGTAAGCTTCAGTTCAACCTGGATATTTGAGACTTTGTTTCAAAAATAAGCTAGTAAGTCAATAAATAAATAAATACCCCCCCAAAAAAAACCCCATGTAATTTCATATGTATAGAGTTGACAGATAAGCGAGCAGGAATTGTTACTTAGCCCCTGGGGCTTGTAAACGAGGCTTATCTTCCCTAACACGGGAAGGTGTGCCATGCGGCAATATGAAAGCAGACCCTTAGACGTCATAAATGAGGGACCCCAGGAAGTCACTTTCTTCCTCCTTCTCCCTGTGTGAAAAGTTAGCAAAGCTGACCTCAAGAGGAGCCCAAACCAGGACACACTGTTCTGCCTCTATGTGCCTGGGTTCTGTCTGCCAGCCCCACAGCTTCTGTGAACTAATAGAGGGTGAACTTGGAGCCTTTGGGCTTGATGTGGGGGGGTCCCTCTGCAAGACTGGGTTCCATCTCCTGATTGACCATGAGCTGTTTTAAGGAGAGAGCCTGTTCCAATGTGTTACTCCTAGCAGACACTTGCAGAGTCCTTCCAACCTTTAGACACATCCGAGCTAGCTGTGGAGTCTCACGTATTGTCGGACCCTGGGCACTGTGGAAATGTGGTATTTAAAAATATTATTTTTTTCCACTGACATGAAAAGTACCCCATTTCCTGCTTATTTTGAAAGTGGAGGAGAGAGAGTCGCTCTTTATGACGCTCTCTGTTCAGTCCAGACAGAACGAACTGAACCACAGTGAATCTGAAAGACAAACCTGCTTCAGGACAAACCCCGAGATCCATGTAAGGCCCCATGGACACGGACGCTGCCATTTGTGAAAAGGTTGGAAGAGATTGTGTGTCTGAGTCTCTCCGGAGGGATAAGCTAGCGGTAGGGCATCAATCCTGGAGGCTAAAGGAGAGGGAAAAGGAGATGAAGTTTTTACCACACACACTTGGATGTTTTTCTTAGCCATGTAAGTATTCTCCAATTGGAAAATATTTTAATTGATTGACTTTCAATTTTAAAAATCAACAAAAATATGGATTTTATGAAAAGCTAAAGTAAGTAATAATACAATGACAAGTTCCAAGAAAGTGCCACCTTCCAGTTGTCTGCCATCTGGAGAATTGTGCAGGGAATGCAGATATCTTTTGTAGCTGTGGGTCCTGGGCCCTTAGACCTGACAGTCCTGCAGGTAGCCGGTGGGCAGAATGAATGTGTGAGCCAGTGAATGAGTAAAAGCAAGACCTAGAGGACTAAGGTAAGCCTCAGCATGTGGGGCCCCAGCAGGCCTGGCCAGGCTCCACAGCTGGAACAGTGTGGGAAGGATTCTCTCTCACTCATCACAGTGGCCATGTCTGTTGGTGGGACAGACATTCGTGCCAGAAATCTCAGCAGTGTCTGTGTCTTCTAGGCAACTTATGAGAAGCTGCATGAGTCAGAGGTGACACACTTGTACATCTCTTTTATCTACCTGGGCTTGTAGGCTGTGTCGGCTCAAACCCAGTGTCAGCAGATGAGCCCCAGAGCATGAGGATTCCACTCGAGCTGAAACCTCATATCAGCGAAGAACACTCCCTTCGCTTGACTCATTCTCCAACCTCATAGCCAGAGCAAAGGAACCTTCTGGTCTGATCTGAGCAAGCCTTTTTTTTTTTTCTTCTGGGTCCTCTGAGATAGTTAGAGGATTGGGAGGTGAACCTGAAGATAGGGCTTCCTGGCAGCAGAGAGAGTACAGCCAGGAATCCAGGCTGATCTTCAGTTTGAGGCCAGCCTGGGCTACATAATGAGGCAAAGGCCAGCCTGAGGTCATAGGCCTGCCCCATGGCAGTTAACCTGAGGTTTTACTAACTGATATTGAACTGTGTAGTCTGAGTTGAGCCCAGAAGCAGAGCTTGGAATGTTCTAGATCAGCAGTTCTCATCCTGTGGGTCTCCTAAGACCATCAAGAAACAGATATTTACATTACAATTTCTAACAGTAGCAAAATTATAGTTATGAAGTAGCAACAAAATAATGTTATGGTTAGGGGTCACCACAGCATGAGAAACTGTACTAAAGGGTCTCAACGTTAGGGAGGTTGGGAACCACTGCTCTTGATCCAGACAGAAATGATTTCTGTGTGACCCACTTTCTAAAACTCCCTTCTCACTCTCACTGTCCATCCTGGTCATCCTTTCTCATGCCCACCCCCTTATTCTTAGCTTCCCTTGTGCGTGGGGTGGGGGCACTTTCACCGGCGGCTTCCAATCAGTTCCCTGTCTCTTTACTTCCCTTCCCCTTAGGTGGCCAAGTTCTTTTCTTCTTGCTGGCATTTTTTTATGATGTGCCCCTCTCTTTTGCCTCCACATCCTGGTTACTGATTTTTAAATCCAGGGTCTCTCTTTAGATCTTCACTCTCCTGGGCCCCTCAGTGTGGCTTTTTTTTTTGGGGGGGGGGGTTTCGAGACAGGGTTTCTCTGTGTAGCTTTGCGCCTTTCCTGGAACTCACTTGGTAGCCCAGGCCGGCCTCGAACTCACAGAGATCCGCCTGGCTCTGCCTCCCGAGTGCTGGGATTAAAGGCGTGCGCCACCACCGCCCGGCTCAGTGTGGCTTTTTAGTTTGTTCCGAGGACTGAGCTCGGGTCCCAGGCTTGCAGAACAAGTGTTCTGCTGACAGAGCTGTGGCTCCAGTCTCTGGCAGTCCTATTTTCTTTTTCTTTTTTTTAAGCACACATGTCTCAGGGCACAGAGGGAGCAGGGGCTGCAGCAGGAAGGACATTTCACAATTTCCACCCAGTTTTCTGTGCAAGTTAGCTGACTGATGGACCTCTGCTTCTATAGCTGTGAGCTCATGTATCGTGACAGCGTTACCCAGCAGGGTTTAGCCCACATCAAAGGTACAAGCCAAAAAATACCACCAAGGGAAATCTAAGCAAAAACTACAGAAGCCCCTGGGTAAAGGAGTTACATCCTTCGAAACATGCCATTATTAGGGGTTTGACACTTCTCCTCCCTTTTCCTCTTTAAAACACTATGTGGTATTTGTTTATTTCTATCAAAATAAACTGCGAAAATTTAAAAACAAATGTTTTAACACTTTTTTAAGTAATGGAGAAACAGCCTTTTTTTTTTTTTTTTTTTTTTTTGGATTTTTTCGAGACAGGGTTTCTCTGTGTAGTTTGGTGCCTGTACTAGATCTTGCTCTGTAGACCAGGCTGGCCTTGAACTCACAGAGATCTGCCTGGCTCTGCCTCCCGAGTGTTGGGACTAAAGGTGTGCGCCACTACCGCCTGGCAGAACAGCCTTTTAATAATAAGAGAGGGTCTCATACTATCACTCATACTGACCCAGACTCCCTATTTAGCCTCAGTTGGCCTCAAACTCATTGTAATCCCCCTGCCTGAACCTCCTGACTATTGGTATTAAAGGTGCCAGCCACCAAGCTCACGTTAAGTCACGTAGAGTGCATGAGCAAGTTCTCACGCTCACAGACAGGCTCTAGGGAAACCGGGAATGTTGAGTACACAGCTTCTGTCTGCAGTGGAGAGATGTGGATGCCTGTTTTCCACCCAGAAGGCTGGGAATGGATGTAGCATAGGGGTCACCAACCTCTACAGTACATGTGACATCTCCCCTAAGGATGGCTCCTATTGTCTGAGAAACAAAGATAAAGATAAAGGTCTAGGGAGGGAGAGCCTGGGATGAACATACTAGTTGGGGAATTTGGGTGTGGCCTGACCTTACAGATAAGTACAGGTCACCAGGCTACTAACTATATCCATTCCAATTCAAATTGTATATGAGTTCATTATGCTGCATAAATTTTGGGTCAGATTAATTTTGGTGTGTGATTTGAAAAAAATTATTTGCAAAGTTTTGTATAATAAAGTGTAGCTTTTGTTGTTGTTTTGTTTTTGAGACATAGTCTCTTTATGTAGCCCAGGCTGTTGTCCTCGAAATGTAGACCTGGTTGGCCTTGAGCTCACAGGGATCCTTCTGCCTCTTGAGTGTTGGGATTAAAGGCATGCACCACTATCCCTGGGCTATAAAATTTACTTTTTAAAAAAGAAAAGCTAGCCAGGTGGTGGCGGTGGTGGCGGTGGCGGCGGTGGCGGCGGTGGCGCACGCCTTTAATCCCAGCACTTGGGAGGCAGAGACAGGTGGATCTCTGTGAGTTCGAGGCCAGCCTGGTCTACAGAGTGGGATCCAGGACAGGCACCAAAACTACACGGAGAAACCCTGTCTCCAAAAACAAAAACAAGAAAGGAAGAAAGGAAGGAAGGAAGGAAGAAAGAAAAGCTAAGCTCACGCCTTTAATCCCAGCACTCGGGAGGCAGAGGCAGGTGGATCTCTGTGAGTTCAAGGCCAGCCTGGTCTACAGAGCAAGATCCAGGACAGTCAGAGCTACACAGAGAAACCCTGTCTTGAACCTGCCCCCCCCCAAAGTATTTGTTGTCAAAAAACCCACACAAATAACAACAAAAACAAAAACCCAGCCAATCGGTGAGCTGGCTCAGTGGGTGAAGGCGTTTGACGGGAAGTCTGACGACTCAAGTTCAGTCCGTGGAGTGAACGGAACGCACTTGGTGAGGAGAACTGACTCTGGGAGCTGCCCACTGACCTCAACACACACACTGGGATACACATAGCTGCACATGCATGCACACACATAACTACTAATGTAATAAAGGAATTTAAAACCATTCTATTTCAACGTGTTGTCTAGGGATCGCTTCTTTGATGGGGGTCAAGCTACGAAGGAAAAGCAGGGAAATAAACAGTGTGTAAGTCAGGATTGTGTTAACACGTAGAAAGGAGACTGTGGTCAGGCAAGGGTGTGAGGGAGGCTGTGGGGGTCCTAGCAAGGTTCTTTTCATGGTGTGGTGTACGGTGTGTGGATGCATGTGTGTGGATGTGTTATGTGTATATGTGGTTTGTGCATGTGTGTGGTCTATGCATAGGTATGATATGTGTGTGAATGTGTGTGTGTGTGGGAGTATGGGGATGTAAGTGTGTTTGGTGTATGTGTACCTACTTGTGCATGTGGTGTGTGGTCTATGCATAGGTATGATATGTGTGTGTGTGTGTGTGTGTGTGTGTGTGTGTGTGTGTGTGTGTGATGAGTATGGGGATGTAAGTGTGTTTGGTATGTGTGTACCTACTTGTGCATGTGTGTGGTCTATGCATAGGCATGATATGTGTGTGAATGTGTGTGTGTGTGGAGTATGGGGATGTAAGTGTGTTTGGTATGTGTGTACCTACTTGTGCATGTGTGTGGTCTATGCGTAGGTATGATATGTGTGTGTGGGGAGTATGGGGATGTAAGTGTGTTTGGTGTATGTGTACCTACTTGTGCATGTGTGTGGTCTATGCATAGGTATGATATGTGTGTGTGGGGAGTATGGGGATGTAAGTGTGTTTGGTGTATGTGTACCTACTCATGCATGTGTGCTATTTTTCAGCACTTTCTACCTTCTCTCTTGAGACAAGGTCTCATTGTCCTGGAAGTTTCTGGGGAGTCCAGGCTGACTGGCCCATGAGCCCCAGGGATCATCTCTGCCTCCTCAGTATTCGAATCATTAGTGTGCACTGCTGCACCAGGGGTTTTTATGTGAGTTCTGGGGATGGAACTTGGGCCTTGGAGCTTGCAAGGCGGGTAGCATATTATGAGCCCCCAGGAGGAGAGGTAGACCCCAGATTCAATCAGAAACCCTAGGCTTCCTTTGGTTTTTCTTGGCAGGAAATGACGTGAGTGACATAAGCATCTCCCGCTTCTGAGACTCCTGGGCACTAGTATGATCGAGGCTGGCTAGGGCCCTGGCTCCATCGCCCTGGCTCCATCACCCTGGTCCCACTCCTCACCAGCCTGGTTTGGAACAGTGTGTGAGTTCGAAGCTCATCCCTAAGGGCCTGGTTTGGAAGTCTTCAGGCTTAGGACTCTGGGCTGGAGGCTGGGTTGGGGAGGTACAAGTAGATGTTCTGGACCACAAGAAAAGTTGGTTTGGGAAGACCATGCCTGACATGGCCATCCTGGCACAGCTCGCTTGAGAGAGGAAGGAACTAGGACTTGTTTTTGAAGTGGACCAGCTCTAGCATGATGTCTTTTCTCCTGTTCCTGTGCTTTGGGGTCCTTAACAGCCTCCTTTGAAAGTCGTCAGTGATTTTAAGATCCCTAAAGTCACGGAGCTTCACTTTCCCTGAAGTAGCAGACATATATTGTTTTTAAAAGCAAATCTATTTATTTACTTATTATTTATATGTATGTGTGCACGTAATTGCACATGCTGCAACATGTGGTCAGAGTTCATCTTGAGGGAGTCGGTTCTTTCCTTCTACCATGCATGTCCCGGGATCAAACTCAGGGAGTCAAGCTTGGCAACAGGTGCCTGGTCCACCGTGCTGGCCCATATTGTTTTTAAGCACCAAAGAAGGTCCAGTCAGTGTGTGCAGGACTTTATACACCACTCCCTAACCTTCACAATGCACTCCATTGCCTGGGTCCCACCACTGGAAATCAGGAAGCTGGGTCAGCATGGTCGGTGATGTGCAGCACTGTCAAGGGCCGGGTCAGGACTATGTCCCAAGGCCTCTCTCTGCAATGGGTCAGCCAAAGTGCAGGGAGGGCAGGTTTTAAGCAGAACAGGATTGGGTAGGTTCTACCCAGGAAACAGGGGTGTGTGAAGGCCAGGTTAGTCAGACTACATTTGGGCTGGAACTATTTTCTGCCCCAGCATCCTCCATAAAACCTAAGCCAAGCAGAGGGGCGAGGGAAAGAGGAGGCAGGTGCACAGGATTCAGGTAAACTTGCAGGATTCCTACTTCCTCTCAGGAAGCTTCTAAGAGCTGCAGGCAGTCTCTAAGGAGAGGAGTCTTACTTCCTGTAGCTGCCTACAGTGGGTGCAAGGAGCTCTCAGGAGGCAGCTTTCATGAGTGGGCACCCCACTGGGGTGAGCTTGGGCTAACTCAAGAGCATGCTCCTGCAGTGACCCTATAGACTTACTGCTTCACCAGACTAGCCTTGGGTATGGGGTTGTTCCTGCTGCCCAGGGGCCATCTCTGTGGCAAATGACGTTTGTTTATCTCTGTCCCAGAAGTCACTGAACACCCCCTCCCGGGGCCGTTTCTGTTTTCCAGAAGGCCCTGAGTCCAGTCACTGCCCCCACCCTGCTGACTCTCATAGGTGTCCGGGGCTCAACAGGTCAGGGCTTGCTCCGTCCTGCTTCCTCTCAGTAGGCTCAGGTCCTCTCATGACCTGTGCCTGAGCAGAGTGCTTTCTTATGGTCTGAGTGTCTTTACATTGAACTGAATTTCTTCCTACCTCAAGTATTGTATTTCAAGTAGTGGAGACAGGAAAAAAAAAATTAGGGGAATTTGGTGGGAAGGAGGGAGAGAGGAAGGGAGGAGGGATGAGGGAGGGAGGAGGGAGGAAGAAGGGAGTGAGGAAGGGGGGAGGGAGGGAGGAGGAGGGAGGGAGGGAGTAAGGAAGGGGGAAGGAGGGAGGGAGGAAGGAGGAAAATCCTCAACTCTCAGCCTTTCTCTGGACTCTGGCTATAATCGCCCAGAGCAAGGCTGCAGGCACTTGGGATCTGTGTTTGCCAGAAGACAACACAGTCACTGAGGAAAAGCCAGCTGCAGCTGTCCTCAGGGGCGTCCGGAAGGGTCTGTCTGTGTCAAGCAGGAAAAGGTCTGTTCTTACTGTTTCCTTCCAAAGGCCACATTTCCTAGTGGCTCAGATGACTGAGCCCTGAGCCATGGTTATGAGCATTTATGAAACTGAGAAAAGACTTTGTGCCCAGTTTATTATAAATGCCATAAACGTTCATTATAACAACTGGAGAAGTTACCAAAATGGCATTTGAGAAAAGGAAAAAAAATAATCCATAAAACTATGCAACTTTGCGAATTCAGGCAATACTCTTTCAGTTTTTCTCCATATAAATGCATATTTATAGTAAAAATGCTGAAGTCATTTCGAATCATTATCATCAGTATTGTTATTGGAGATAGGGTCTCATAAAGCCCAGGCTGGCCTCAAAATTCCTATGGAGCATGGATGCCCTTGAGCTCCTGACCCTCCTGCCTTTACCTCCTGAGTGCTGGGATCGCAGGTCGAGCCACCATGCCTGATTTATGTGGTCCTGGGGACTGGACTCAGGGCTTCTTGCACACTGGGCGGGCACTCTGCCACCTGAGCTACATGTTCAGCATAGCGACTTTGTTTTTATACGCTGGAGCCTGTATACAGCGCAGGGGAACCGCTGAGCTCCTGCCCCTCAGTTCTCGGGATTATCAACTCACAGTTAATATTTCATCTAGCTCCTACTTCATGGCTAAATTAGACGGCTAATTTCATCTATAAACACTCAAATGTGGGTCTCTGAAGAATAAGCGCTTTTTAAAAAAAGAAATAAAAACCATCAACGCTAGTTTTTGTAGTTGTTATTGTTTGTTTAAGATGGAGTCTCACACTAAAGCCCAAGCTGGCCAGAACTCACGACTGCTCTCAAATTTATAGCAATTCTCCTGCTTCAGCTTTCTAAGTGCTGGGATTAGAGCATGAACCAAAAAGTCTGACTGACAGTATGAATTTTAATCTTTAAGAGCACCAATATTTCCTATTACCCAAATGTGATTTTGTATCGGCTCCTTCCGCCCCTTTCTGGTAGTGTTCAGCCTGAACCTTTCTCCACAACCCTAAAATGGAATTGCTCACACTTCACGTTGTGAGTGTTCAAAAGGTCTAATTGTAGACTTCCCATCCTCCACACCCCACCCCTGTTTTATCTGCATCTTCAGGAAAATGGACACAGAAGGCAAACACATCAGGTCCCTGGCTGGCCTGACTTGCCTCACCCCAGGTGTGGGAGGAGTCCTCTGCACTTACCTGGGCAGATAGGAACGGAACTTGTGCAGGAAATGCCAGTCGGTCCCCCAGTCCCACACAAACTCCACCAGACGCCAATACTTCCCTCTCTCTGAGGGCATCTTTATTTGTGAAGTTAGCCAATAGCATCTGGTTTCCTGTGAGGTAGCCTATCTACAGATGCTGTGGCAAGCAAGCTCAGAAGCTCCAGGCTGGACCAGTTATCACAAGGGAGCCTGCATTTCAAGTCTAAGGGGCTGCTGCCTGGGGCAGACCTGGGGATGGCTGGGGGCTGTGTCATATATCCCCAGCGAGATGACAGTCTGCAGCTCTGGAGGCCAGCAGAACACAAGCCAGGCCTCAAGCTCTCATTAATAGGGGTCTCAGGCAAGCTGTGAGAGCCCCTCAACTCTCCATCCATCTTAGAAAGCATCTGGTACCCACTGGGCAGCCCTGGGCATAGGCTCCCTGACCTTTCACTTCAGCAAGGTCTACTGCCCGCCTGTGCCTGCCTGCCGAGGCACACACTGTGGGGAGGTTCTCAGGAGGCTGTTTTTGAGGTAGGAGCACCACACTAAAGTGCCTGCCCACCACAGGCACCCCATCTGCCCACCTTCCCCTGCAGAGGCCAAGAGCCCTCACAGACTCTGACACTGGCCCTTTCCCTAGGCCCCAGCAGCTAGGTCTGGGGTACCCAACATCAGCTCCTTGTCCTCACTCTGCCCCGTGTCAGCTCTTGATTTTTGTTTTTTATTTTTATTAATTCTTTGGAAATTCACACTTGGTATGTGGATCATGTTCATCCTTCCGCCTACCTCCTCCCAGATCCACTGCTGTTCCAAACCCTCCCAACCATGCTTCTCATTCATTTCTGCTAAACTTTTTTTAAGGTTTATTTTATTACCAATTATGCATATGTGAATGTGAATGCAGGTGCTCATGGAGGCCAAAGGACTGAGATCTCCCTGGAGCTGGGGTTACAGGCAGTTGTGAACTCCCCATCATGGGTGCTGGGAACTGAACTTGTGTCTTCTGCAAGGGCAGTATGTGCTCTTAGCCACTGAGCTGTTTCTACAGCCCCTTCTTTGGTTTTGTTTCATTTTGTTGTTGCTGAGACACGTCCCACGTATCCTGGGCTGGCCTTTAAATGACTCTATAGTTGAAGATGACCTGAGCTTCTCATCATCCTGCCTCCACCTCCCAAGGGCTGAGATGTTCCACCACGTCTGGTTTATGAGGTGCTGGGGAATCAAACTCAGGGGCTTCATATGTGCTAGGCAAGCAGTCTACCAGCCGAGCCATGTCCTCAGCTGCACTCAGCTCTCCCCTGTGCTCCTGCCTGGAATCTGGCCAAGATTCTCCCACAGTTCCTGTGAAACAATCTCATCAGTGTTCATTTCTGACACAACTCCATCTCCAGCTGGGGCCTGGAGAGTACCCTGTGCCCACTAATCCCTTCTGTCTGTCTGTCTTCACCTCAGCATTCCAAGTACGCAGAGAGCAATCCCGAGCTCTCCAGGTTTAACACTCAGGGCGCTTCCTCTGCTCCCTGGTCTGTCTGTGAGCTCGTTCTCAACAACCTTTTACTTCCCACCGCATTCTAACCGCTTCCTCTTCCACCAGCGCACACACATTCCCCCCCCCCAGACACACACACACACACACACACACACACACACACACACACACACACACCCTTCCCTGTGCGTGTGCTGGGAGTGCTCGCCTCCCTGCCTCACCTGCTGTGGGCTGACAAGTCAGCCTGTCCTTTCCATGGGTGCCACAGCTGATAGAACTCTGTGATGAGTGTCAGCACACTCCTGCCTGTTTCCTATTCCCCGGTGGACACCCACACTCACTGAGGAACACAATATTTAGGAGAGGCACTCAGCTCATGGACCATTCCATTTTAGAGTGACAAATGAAGCAAGTCTGCTTTTGGGACCTGAAGGCAACAAACAATACCTCATCAGTGTGTGTGTGTGTGTGTGTGTGTGTGTGTGTGTGTGTGTGTGTGTGTGGTGGTTGTGCCACATATGCATACTGTGTACAGCATAAATGAAATCCAGAAGAGGGCACTGATCCTCTGGAACTAGAGTTATAGGAAGGTGTGAGCCATCTGACGTGGGTACTGGGAACCCAACTTGTGACCTCTGGAAGGCAGTAAGCACTTTTAACCACTGAGTCTCTTCCCAGCCACTGATTTGTAGCACGAATTGTTAGAAGATCTTATAATAAAATCAAACCTGGGAGCCAGGTATTGGGGTGAACGCTGAAAGATCAGAGAAACAGAACAAGCCACAGCTAACCTCATCTCACCAACTCCTCAGCTGATCTTGTTTCCTCAGACTGGAAGCCTCTGTGTCCTTATCCGAATGGTTCTCAGCTGAACTGCTGCTCAAAAGCCTAAAAGCTTAACCAGACTCTAGTTCCTGGTTTTCATGCCTTATATACCTTTCTGCTTCCTGTCATCACTTCCTGGGATTAAGGCGTGTGTCACCATGCCTGGCTGTTTCCAGTGTGGCTTTGAACCAGATGGATCTCTGCCTCCCAAGTGATAGAATTAAAGGTGTATGTACCACCATTTTCTGGCCTCTATGTCTGTCTAGTGACTGTTCTGTCCTCTGACCCCAGATAAGTTTATTAAGGTGTACAATATATTGGGGGACACACTATCACCACACTGATTAAATTATTTCTTAAAAAAAAACATTTTTATTATTTTATGTATATACGTGTTTACCTGTATGTCCACCACCACATGCATACCTGGACCCCAAGACACCAGAAGAGGGCAGTGGATCCCAGGTCCCCTGAGACTAGATGTACGGATGGTTATGAGCCATCATGTGGGTCCTGGGAATCAAACCCAGGTCCTCTGGAAGAGCAGCCAGTGCTCTTAACTACTGAGCCACCTCTCCAGCCTCTGATTAAGTTATTTCTGAGTGAAAGCATTCGAGGTGGAAGAACTAAGGTCGATTACAAATCAAAGCAAAAGCACTTTTTTTTTCTTTGGTTTTTCGAGACAGGGTTTCTCTGTGTAGCTTTGTGCCTTTTCCTGGAACTCACTTGGTAGCCCAGGCTGGCCTCGGACTCACAGAGATCCGCCTGGCTCTGCCTCCCGAGTGCTGGGATTAAAGGCGTGCACCACCACCGCCCAGCTAGCAAAAGTACTTTTATTCCAAAATAAATCATCAGTTGTCACTTAACTATTCATCTTGCGTTTGAGATTGGGGTCTTGCTGTGTTGCCCATGCTAGCCTGGAACACCTAAGTTCTCATTTCAGCCTTCCAAGCTAGAACTTCTAAGCTCTTAGGTCAGTTTCCCAAGCCCTCAGGACAGCAGGCACATGCCGCCATACTCAGCTAGACACTGCTGAGCTGCATTCCCAGCTCTGCCCCGTACCCCTTACCTCAGTTACTTCTCTATTGCTATGATAAAGCACGGTGATGAAGACAACTTAGGAGAGAAAGGATTTAATTGAGCTTATGGTTTCAGGGGTTAGAGTTTATGATGACAGAGTGAAGGGACCAGGCAGGAACAGCCGAGCGCTCACATCTTGATCCAAAAGGAGGAGGTGGAGAACACTGGGGAGGACTTTTGAGACCTTAAAGTCCCCACTCCCCGTGACGCACCCCTTCCAACAAAGCCACGTCTCCTAATTCCAAACAGTTCAACACCTGGGTCCAAGTGTTCAAACATATGAGCTATGGGGGCCATTCCCATTCAAACCACCACAGACCGCAACTATTTACTAATAGTTAAGCACCACCACTACAAGGTCCTCTTGTAGGTATGACCTGTGTGATCGACCTGACTTACTTGTTCATTCTCAGGGATAGTGGCTCATACCTGGGATCCAGCACTTAGGAGGCTGAGGTCAGAGGATTGCTGCTACCTGGAGGCCAGCCTGGCCTACAGAATGAGGTCTGCTCTCGAAACAGCAGCCACAACCCGAAAACAATCAAGGCAAGATTAGTGTAAGTTTTAGAAATGACACAGGATAGTGGAGAGATTAGAAAGCTGGGGACTCAGAGGAAGGAGCACTGTCTGCCTGAGAGACTCGGCCTGGGCGCCAGGAGGGACCGGGCAGCACGATGGATGCCTCCCTTGTCGGGGAGCTACGCAGAGCTGCCCCTTCCCTCAGGGTCCTCTTTCCTCATTCCCTGCAGCCCAGTCCCTGTTTCCACCCAATCCTCCAGCAAGGATCGTGTGACAGTGGCCTTTTCTACTCCAACCTGTCAGACAGTCTTCTTCTACGTCTCTGAAAAGCCCTGTTTACTATTCGTAAAAAACAGAAAATCTCAAATCTTAGTGGAGAAGCCCTGAACTGTGCCCCGTGCTCCCACACCAAGAGGCTAAGTCATGACCTGCAGTGTGATTTACTGAAATTCAGTTTTAAGCAGGTAAATAAGGGTAAACGGTACGGGTCAGACTGCTGTTATATTCTCAGTTATGCCATACAGTTGAAAGCAGAAGCAAAGTCAGAACTTACCTGTAATTAGAGATGCCGAACATCAGACCAGGGATGGAGCCGCTGGTGTCTCAGAGCCCCCTTCACAATCCATCCTCACTCCCAGCTGCTCTGAGCCTTTACTCATGCATGAGGGTCTCCATCTGAAAACCTAGGACTTGGGATGTGGCTCGGTGAGTATAGTGCTTGCTATGGGTTGATCTGCACCATGCAAGCAGGTGTTGGGGGGGGGCACACCTGGAATCCCACGATCTCCTGCACCATGCAAACAGGTGTGTGTGTGTGGGGGGAGCACCTGAAATCCCATGATCTCCTGCACCATGCAAGCAGCGGTGTGTGTGTGTGTGTGTGTGTGTGTGTGTGTGTGTGTGTGTGTGTGTGTGTGTGTCACACCTGGAATCCCATGATCTCCTGCACCATGCAAGCAGGTGTGTGTGTGGTGGTTCACACCTGGGATCCCAGCACTCAAAGGTGGAGATGGATGACTTCAGGGTCATCCTGGGCTGCATGGCATGTTTGAGGCCAGCCTGTGAGGTGCATGTGCAGAGGCTCCTGAGCTGGGGCCATATGCACGCCACAAGTGACAGTCTCAGAGCCAAGCAAGGCTGCTGACATGGGAGCTTGGACTTCCAGGCTTCAGATCCACCAGAAACAAGTGC